AAACGCCGCGAGGGCGAAAAAGAAAAGAAGACCCATCACTGCGCGCGGCCCAAAAAGGCGTATCTGTCGGCGTGTCGATCTTTATGTGGATTTCAAAGAATTAAACTGGGACGACTGGATACTGTCGCAGGGCATGTATTAGCCAGGCTTCTAAAATTTTAGTGGGTTACAACGCGTACATGGGTGTTGGGGAATGCCCAAATCCTCTGCCCGCCTGATTGAACGCTACGAACCACGCCATTGTACAGTCACTCATCAACAGGTTTGTGAATTGGGACATTAATTTACTGGGAAGCAGTAGTACGAAGTGGGAAATCTGAAAACGCCCAGTTCCCTAGGGTTTTTTGATTACGGCGATTCCGATGCGCTAGTCAGAATAGTTACCGAGTAAGCCTGTAAAGCGATATCGAACTTCTGGGAAAGATGGTCATTGCACGCGCGTAATTAGGAAGTTACTAATTGTTTATTAGGACTCACGGCTTGTCATCAGCTGACCAATGAGGTTCATTGGTACTGCTTTTGAAATATTAACGGGGTTCGGATCCGCCCTGATTTTGTTTTGCTGTGTGGAGCCTAGTATTGCAGGTTATCGCCCCGTTTTCCTCATGGTTGAAAGAATTCTATTCAAGGTCCGAGGTCCAACCCAAAATCACAAACTTCCAAAAAGAAAACAAAAAATGACAGTGGATCCGAACCCCCGTTGGTATTTCAAAAGCGAGTGGCTTGGCACTCGACCAATTCACAGCTGATGATAGATACGTGGAAGATCCTAATAAACCATTAGTAGCTTCCTAATTACGCGCATGCAAATTATGCTTTTTCCGGAAGTGCGGTATCTCGCTTTACAGACCTCGGTGGCTAATTCACGAATAGCGCATCGGAATCGCCGATGTCCGAAAACCTGGGGGTAGCCGCGAGCGTTTTCAATTTCCACTTCGTGCACTTGCCCTTCCTTGTAAGGCTGAAGCCTAAGCTTAAGTCTAATCCTAAGCCCAACCTGGGCCTAAGCATAAGCCTAAGCCTAAACCTAAACCTAATTCCAAAGCTAAGTCTTAGCAAGCCTAAGTCTAAGCCTAAGCCTACGTAAACTCCTATCAAAACAATCGCCGTTCAGCCTGAACAACGACGTAACAGCGCCATGCTGCGTACCAACGGAAACATCAGCCCTGAACATCCTCTACCGTGATTTGAACGATTCGATTGTCTTCAAGCCGTACGAAGGGATGCGGGTCGAAGCGTGCGGCTGTCGATAGTCGCCTTCTGGAAATCATCCACCCATTGCCATTCCATGAAAACGACGGGTCCAATTGTTTTCCCAGTTTTTGGTTTACAGGGTGCCCCAAAAAAAGATGCATCTGGCATTCGCCTCCTTTTCCAATTAGTACAAAAATTGGGCCAGGTATAATGTTGGCTGATGGCTCGGTCGCTACAGTAGTTCCCGTTTTATAATGAAAATACTGTTTCCTTCCGCAACTCTCAGCACCTTTTCGTCTGCCTTTCCACTTTGCGTTCCAATTTTGGGATCGATTGGATGTAAGGCGGCGAAATTCTGGATGGTTTTTTGGAACAGCCTGTATAGTCGTGACGATTCTTGTAGCTTGGTTTCCGGTTTGGAAAATATCAAATAGCTTATTGAATAGCTTCATCCTCTAATTTGTTCAAAACTTTATTCATGCAAGCACAGGCACTATTGAGCTCTTGAGAAGTTGTACCTTTGAAAATCATACGGCCGTTGCCCCCAGTTTCCGATTTTCTTCGATTTTTGCAGTTTGTATACTTTGCTTGAAAACCGATTTTGTCTATCTCCACTCCATGTGATTCCCCCCTGATTGTTTTGGTGACTTAATCGAGTACAATGTACCTACAAATAGTTCGGTGTCTTCTTGTCGATCTGTTTTTTTTTCTTTTCTTTGACACCCGGCTCCGCCCATTTCAATGATCTCCTTCATACTTTTCAGAGCCAATTGAAACAATTCAATTGCTTTATGAAAAACAATACCTACAATTGGCCCTGATTACTTTGTTTCCAAAAAACATTTGATTTTTATCTATTTGCATAACTTTATGGTCATCTGCTAGTCTGATCCTGAGCTTCCCCGCTTCAACGAAATTTTTTTACATTTTTTTTCGCTCAAGATTTTCTGATTTGTTTCCTATCCTTAATCTTTAGATTTTGTGCTCTTTAGACTTTACGACCGGTTTTTCTTTATTGGTGTCAATGGTTGGGAATAAATTTATTCATAAAGTTTTTAGGATCTATCTCATTACCGGGAGAGGCCCGAACTTTTTCTAGAAATTTTCTGTCTGGAAATGTTTAGTGAATTAATAGGAACTATTTTTGTGGTGATTTTCGTAATATATAATTAGGTTTCAACTAGAAAAACTATCTAAAAAGTTTTTCGAAATTCGGTCGAAAATCGGTAATTGTGCGAAAAATCTATATTTTTATGTTTTTTTAGTAATTAGTTTTAGCTTTTAGGAATTGTAAAAACAGTTTAAAAAACTTCCACTATTTATTTTTAAAGAATTGGATCCTAAGAAAAAGTCCCCCCGATAACGGAACAGAACCAGTTTTAAAATTCTTCTATGTCTCCTGACCGTCCCCACGTAGCGTCAGACTTCTGCGATCGATATTAACGATTCGTGTGGCATTTACCCATGAGTCCAAGAAGCGCGGCAAAATAAACAACTTTTGTTAAGGGATAATTAAAATGCTCTTACCTGAGTAATAGAATCGCTACCAGAAATAATCCACTCATTATGTAAAACGGCAGTGAAGGAAACCCGAATTTTGCTGAAAAATTCGGGTTGTTGTGATGAAAAAATCAATTACCAGACAAGGGGAGGAGTGGGTGGAAAATGGCAGACGCAAAAAGCTGAGCGACACTCTCAAGAGAGGCATGTACAGCCAGGACTCGACCTAAAAAAATGTGTAAAACGGTATGTATATTCGTTACCCTGCTGATCAGCACCAACAGAATTCACAATTAACGCGCGGAATCCCGATGCAGCAAATCGGTTCAGGCTTTCGGGGATGATGGCTAAAGAGTACTGGGCTGTTAGCGGGGGAAAGCAAACTTTTACACCCCCCGCTAACAGTCCAGTACCTTCGAAACTTTGGCAAGATAAAACTTACCGAAAAACACAAGCTCACTTCGCCACACTACAGCATACCATAACATTGCGATCACTCGCGAAATAAACCCTATGACTGTCATCGTAAAATCCGACAGTCCGCGACGCTTCAGCCAAGCGAATCCGAAAATTGCCTATAACTTCTTCATTAACTTTTTCCATATAAAAATACCATAATAGTGGCGGTCAATCGGCTGCCCGCTTTAAGATAACCAAATTGGCCGGCATCCCAGGCGAATTTGAGCTTGAGGTATAGGAAAAGGATTTGATGGCATCCTAAAACAAGTAAAAAGATGGTTAGGAACGATAACTCACCAATCACCGCCAAATATGAAGCGACAGATGCGATGAGGTATAATCCTAATGTTCGTGTGAACGTCACACCCCTTATAGCCAAGAAAAAACACTAAAAAATTGTGAAATTACCAAAAATATGTATAACCCTTTCTTTAGTACGCGCACCCGTAAGTGGCATCTGCGGCTGTCTGGTGATTATCGCCATCAAGATGCCGCATAATACATGAGAAGAGAATAGGAAGATGCTCATCGGAATATAAGAGATTTTCGGAAGTTGGCTAGCCATTAAAAAACCGAGGGTTGCTGAAAAAAAATATATATATTAAAAGCCGAGTTATCTGTCGAAATTCCGAAAGTTGAAATTCTAGGTACTGGGCTGTTAGCAGGGGGGATTATGGAAAGGGAAATCGATTTTCCCCATCAATCCTGTACGACCCTATAACAAAACTTAACCCATTTTTATAGCGTTTTACACAATTTTTAGAGATACAAACCTGATGCAAAAATGACAAAAATATTCACGGCTTTTGGAATTTTTCTTGAAAAATGTTTGCAAACGACCGAAAAAAATCAAAATTTTCTATCTTCTTAGAATTTCAAAAACGTCTAAATAATTTTTTGTAACTTTTTAAGAATAAAAAACTATCTAAAATATTATAAAAATACATGTATTAACAGGTATAGACGCAAAAAAAACTTCGTTATACCCTTGCTAAAAATTTCAGCATTATGAAATGTCGACGTTCTGATATCAAATCCAATAAACCACCAACATCCCATTCCAACAACCCCGCTAAGCCGAGCCAAAGCTGAGCTTTTCTTCTCAGGATTCATGCTATATTGACGAACAATATGAGCATTGGCTGTAGACATGACAGATGCAAATCCGCCAAATAACCCAAATACCATCTGCGATACCACGAATAACCATGTGGAACCCTGGAAATATACCATCAATTGTCAAGAAACCACACATCACTCGGCCGATAATTTGCAGTGTTTGGAGAATGACAATCAGATCCGAGATTGAGACACCAATATACGGTAGCAGTAATGCTATTCGGGATTTGCCGTGTTTATCCATTAATATGCCTATGGCTAGTGTTGAGCACATTGAACAGAGGCTCAGGGCCGTTGATCTAAAATCAGGTTTTGAGGCTGAGCACGAAGTTAACAATACAAACCCTGCAAACAATACAAAGTTCGCTTCAGCCTGCACATCCAAATCCCTTGCTACCTGCGACGTGCGACACAATTCAGCACTGTGGTGGCGCTGGCAGACCTATGCAAATTGGCATATCGGTCTCAAAATCAGAGCAGAGGGGTATGGAGACCCTAAATAACAACAATCCTAACTTATAGCCCCATAGCTACAGCAGTTCTCGAATACAAAGACAATGCTGGATATGGGGGGGGGGGGTACCTCTAACCAAAACGGGTTAGCGGGCGTAGCCCGCTAACCCCGAATTTTTTGCGCAATTCTAAACAGTTTTTCGGCCTGCTCGTGATCGATTCCGCATCTTAAGCAGTTTCGCGTTGTAAAAATCGTTTAAATTTATGTTAATTTGATTAATACTAGTCCGCAAAACTTTCTTAGGGAAAAAGGTTTTTTTGTGAGTCGTTTTCACGTAATATTTTGGCGCCCCTATCGGAATCTTATGAAAAATGGAAAAAACAGTATTTTCTTTATAACTCCTTAATAAGACATAGTCATAACAAAAAATTGTTGTTATTTAGGGCCTGATACACTTCTGCTCCTATTTTGGGACCAATTGGGTGTAAGGCCCGAAATGCCCGATTGGCCCTTTTTTGGGGGACACCCTGTATACTACCTGCGCATAAATCAGTGAATTGATGAATGGATGGAATAGCGAGCTGCTGAAGTGGTAGAAGAAAACTGGGAAGTAGATTGATTCAATCCATCGCATATCTTAAGTGATTTTATTGAGCGAGAGCATTTAAAGTTTGTCTGGAAATTGAGAGTAATTGTTCTGGAATTGGTGAAAATTGCGTAAAAGTGCGATTTCGTTGTTGATTTCAAAAAATTCGAAAGAAGCTGTATTTTTAAGATATTTTCTATGTATGTTTAAGTTGCTTAAGTTTATTATGGCTTGGATTATGGGTCTTTGAGTGGCACCGGTACAGTAAGGGGGAATAGGGTACGGAAAAGCGGGTTGAGAAGGCACATTGGGAAGGGCGATCACATTAGCATACATGTAAACGATTGGAATAGGCTCGACAATAGGTGACATTTATGGGATATATAGAGTGATTTTGGTATTGAGTAAAGGGAAATCACGAAAAAAAGGTAGCTTTGGAAAATCTAGTGATAATCACAGCCTAATTTATGCATGAAAAACGCTTTCGATCGACGTTTTTCCGAGATAATATAGTTGAGTGAAAATTTGGTACTGTACTGTTAACGGGGGGTGAGGGGGTTAATTTTTTTCAGTAACCCTTTATGGTCCTATAAAAGAAATATAAACCGTTTTTACACAATTTTTAGAGTAAAAAAGCCCACACATTTTGGCCAAAATGAATGAAAAATGGCCAAAAGATAAAAATTTTCGAATATCCAAACTGTTTAAAATATTTTTTTGTAACTTTCTAGTTATCAAAAAACTGCAAAACACGGCAATAATACAGTATCTATTATTAACATGCAGATATAGAAAAAATTTGGTCCCCCCGCTAACGGCCCAGTACCAAGAATTTTTGGTCTGTCTTGGGTGTACAGAGACGGAAAAAAAGAAATATTGATTCAAATAGCTTGAGAAAAAATTGAAAGAAGAGTGAGCGAAATGGAAATCAGAGTGCTGAAATGACTAATGGAATCGAGCGATATATTATAGGGGCAGGGGAGGACAAGATGCGGGATGTTTTTGAAGGAACGCGCGCGCTAATCGGGGACTCACGCACAAAAAACACCGACTAGCGGACATATGGATGGCACCGACAATCGCATCTCCCCGTTCGACCCCAGAGTGCATGGCCGGAAGAGGACGCAAAGTGTTGCCTGAAGCTATAGCTGAGTCGGCTTTGAAGATGTTGGGGGCTTCATTTCCTGTTGTCGCAATTCTAGCTGGATACGTATCTAAAAAAAATTATATATGTATTGCAATTAAATTATTTTCGTTCGCTTACCTGTGCCAAGGTAGCACGCTCCTTTTCTAACTCGGCATTTTGGCGTCTCAGGGCTAAACAGATAAATTTGGTGCTGGGCTTTTAGCGGGGGGAGTTTAGCAGGGGGAAACTAATCAAAAAATCTTTTTCTCTCGACTAACCCCCCCGCTAACAGTCCAGTACCATAAATTTAGCAGAATTGTAAAACCATGGCCTGAGTTTTTCAAAACATCAAATCGTACCTGCAACTCGTCGCTCCCATTTCTCGGCATCACTCTCGTTCTCCCGCTTTCAAAGCGCTCCTCCCGATCCCATAATTCTTGGAATTGAGAGCCTAAAAATTTAAATGGGATTGCGTCCGAAGTTGGTTTCAAAGTTACCCACCAAAATTTTTAATAAAATTCTCCACATGGCTAGGATCAATCCATTTGTGCTCGGTCTGAACAGCAGATGATACAGCCGATGGGGGTGGTAAAACACTTCCGGGAATCGGTTTTTGTGTAGGTTCTAAATTATTGAATATTTTGATACTTTTTAGACTCAACAAACCCTTCGGCTCGGGGTTCCCAACATGTGCCAGCGTGGGTAGGACGGCTAAAATATTGGAGTTAAGGGCTGGGATCTGGAATAGATACCGGATCCATGCTCAGATCGGCTGGGTACTGGAGGCGCATGAACTGGATTCGAAGGGATTGACATGTGGCGAGCAGATGAAGGTCCGCTGATGCTAAAAAATTTGTTTAAATAGGTTTTAGTGATCAAAAACTACAACAAAAATAAATACCAAGTTTTTACAAATGGATTCTGGTGACATACGACCCCAAAAAAAACCCATCCGGCATTTCGCCGCCTTTCCAAAGGTGTATTAGACCCTAAATAACAACAAACCTGACTTGTTCCATAACTACAGTAGATTTTGAGTTACATTAAAAAAACCTCTTTATTTCTATTTTTCATAGGATTCCCGTGGCATACGACCGCTCAAATATTAAGTCAAAATTATTCCGCAAGCTTTATTTACTTTTAGAAATTTTTCCGAACTAAATTAACCAAATAGTCGATTTAAACGACTTTTAAAACGAGTAATTGCCCAAACTTTCAAGCAAAATCAGGGATTCGCAACCGTAAGTCGATTCAAATCGACACAAAGTCCAAAAATTTAGCCGAGTAACAGCTTTGAATTTCGGGAAGACAGTATTTTCGGACTTACCCGTTGATTGGGAGATTCTGGATGGCCAATTGTTTCAAGTCAAGACTAGCACTTCTCATATGACTTCGATTCGATGGTCTGGATGGAGGAGCAGGTGGGGGTCCCTGAAATAAGAAAAAAATCGAATTCCTGATAAAAAAACCCGATAAAAACCCGGTTAAATAACAACCACAATGACATTGAGTTGTGCTCTAACCTGTGGACTTCTTAACATCAACAACGCATCGGGTAAAGGCCGAATCGGAAGTGCTTTTAATGGGTAGCGGACGACTGTCGACTAACAATGGAGGAACATCCGAGAATTGCGGAGGTTCCTGTTAATTTGTTCCGTTGTCACAAGCTATAAGAAGCGGATGCTACCTTCTCGATTTGTGACGACAAGTTGCCCTCGCTCCGTGTAAATGTATTTGGCCGTCCATCCGGTCCCTCGTTTTGCTGCATGGTGGTGCTCGTCGTCTGTGACTCGCCTGAAGGTCTTGATCCTTCGGACGAGACCTAAATACGGCTGTAAATGCCAATTTTCTCGAGTTGCTGATTTTGTTATTTTGAAAATTTAATTTTTGTATCGTAAATGATTTATCTTAAAGGCATAAATTGAAATTCGCGGTTTGTAATTTGCAAAATGAGGTGTCAAGAAAGGAGTTGCGAGAATATTGTCGACAACATGATTTTCGACCGAATCGCGTTTTGACAGAAATGATTTTCGAGAAAATTGAGTACCGATAATTTTATTTTCTATGAAAAATGGAATAAACTGTCATTAATATACTTGTGACTGTGTCCGTGGAGCGGTCATTGGAGGCTTCAAGGCTGGCGGTAGTATAGGCGGTACTGGTAGTTCTCCCTAAGATTTTAAGATCATTTTTCCCTTTTTTTCTCGATCAACGACAATTCTCGAAAGCCCTACCTTGACTCGAAGCACAATCAAGTGCATAGCCGTACAGAATTCGGCCAAATCCAGCCATCCATCCTCATTAACATCGGAAAGTGACCAAATCCTATAAAAAATTTCAGTTTTTATGTTGGATCTGACCTCGAAAGTTCATCATCATCAGGGCCAGACTTTCGAAAAAAAGTCTACGATTTTGTTTTCACTTCCGTGAAGTGCTCCACCGAGAACAGCGGTACCCTAAAAGTCCTCTTTATGTTATATTGGTTTTGTATTTCTACACTGGGTGGTCTTCATTGAATGAAGGAAACATTTAGTATAATGGGCTTTTTTGCTTATCTGTAACGTCATAGACACTGACGTCGTCCACCTGGAAGTAACTGTGAGGTTTGCTTATCTCTGCTTTCTTGATATCAAAGAACTTTAGTGAACAGCTTTCCTATGTTTATTAATCCGATAATGCGTTTCCCACTTACTCTTGGACTGGAATGATCTCCTGAATTGTGCAGCTCAAATCTTCATTGGCGAACAACTTCTTTGGGAAGGTGTCACGGTCCCATAGACCTGCAAGCGATTTTGTGTTTAATTGAAGCTAGTATTTCACAATAGAGACCTCGAAATTTG